TAATAAATTACTCAAAGTTTAAGTTACTTTCCATTGTAATATTTTAATGGTGTGTTGGCCCCTGCTGAATGATAAAAAATGGGCCTTGTTTATAAAAGTTTCCACAGTTAAATAAAATCTGGTCCCTGAGTTTAGTTATGCTTTTCCGTCTTTGTGAATTCTTGGTTACTTCCTGTTTTATTTTGTATTTACCTCCGCCTCTTATTTCAGATATTCACTTCCTGTCCTCATGTGTTTCCCACCTTGTGTGATTACCTGCCCCAACCTGGTTAGTGTCACCTGTGTCCCATCGTCCCATCTTCCCTTGTGTATTTAGTCAGTGTGCTTCCCTTTGTTCTCTGCCAATTCGTCTTTTCAGTTGTCGGTAAGCGTCCCAGCCTTTTTCCTAGTGTCAGTTTATTATGGTTTTTAATCTAGTTCTGTTTTTTGACCCTGATTTCTGTCCCAACGATTTGGATACCTCTGCCTTATCTGACTGCCCACTCATGTACTGAACCCACTTCTTCATTAAAAGGATTATTGGTTGGAGCTTCTGCTGTGTTGAGTCCAAACTACTGCTGGTCTTAACATTTTAATGAGGATTAATAAATTCAAAGGACCAACAGACCACCAGCTACAAGATATCATAAAACTTGTATTAGTATCCAGGCTATTACTTGCTTAAATCGCTAAACTCAACAGGCCTATGTTTGGGGCAGGCCTTTAATTCCTTTCACACAAAACTGTTGATAATAATGTTGCTAATCATAATAATAATAATAATAATAATAAAATTAATTTTATATAGCACGTTCATAGAGTTGGAATTCACACAGTGTTTCACAAAATACAATCAAGAAATCAAACAACATGGAATCAATAAAAACAAAGGCAATAAACAAATCAAACAAGGCAACAAAAGTAAAACAGAGAGCAAGTACAGAATACTGAGGCCCTGAAACAGAAACATAACAGGAAACAAGCACTAAACAAGTTAGGGTGGGACGAAGGTCATTTTGAAGAGATTGGTCTTCTGTTGTTTTATACAAATTTCCCACAGAGCCCACAGACTGTAACCCTGAAGGCAGAGAGGTCCATAGTGTCGGAGCCACAACTCCACAGGCTCCATCACCTATTGTTTCCAGTCTGGAGCACGAGACAGACAGTTGGTCCTGGCTGCCCCCAACCATTTGATTGTATTTTCCAAAGATGAAAAATACAATCAAATGGTTTATTTAAACCAGTATAAATATTAATTGCGTAAAAATTAGGCTTCAAGTAACATATTCATTATGAATCATTCATAACAAATCATTCATAAGACAGCGCAGCGGAGACAGAGTGTTTTGACAATCGTTTCGCTGCACCAAACATACTAACGCTGGAATTCCACTGGATGCGTGTCCGTTGCAGAAAGGCTGCGCTGGTTATCAGCTGCGTGCTCCACCGTTCGTCAACACCCACTGGCTGCCTTTGCTGTACGGAGCGGTGCAGCTCCGCCGGACAGCAGGAGTCCAGCAGACAGGCCTTTATTTGAGACAGGCCTTTATTTGAGACAGACCTCTATTTGAGATAGACCTCTATTTGAGACAGGCCTCTATTTGAGACAGACCTTTATTTGAGATAGACCTCTATTTGAGACTGGCCTCTATTTGAGACAGGCCTTTATTTGAGACAGGCCTCTATTTGAGACAGACCTCTATTTGAGATAGACCTCTATTTGAGACAGGCCTTTATTTAAGACAGGCCTCTATTTGAGACAGACCTCTATTTGAGATAGACCTCTATTTGAGACTGGCCTTTATTTGAGATAGACCTCTATTTGAGACAGGCCTTTATTTGAGACAGACCTCTATTTGAGACAGGCCTTTATTTGAGACAGACCTCTATTTGGGATAGACCTCTATTTGAGACAGGCCTCTATTTGAGACAGGCCTTTATTTGAGACAGGCCTCTATTTGAGACAGACCTCTATTTGAGATAGACCTCTATTTGAGACAGGCCTTTATTTGAGACAGACCTCTATTTGAGACAGGCCTTTATTTGAGACAGACCTCTATTTGAGACAGACCTCTATTTGAGACAGGCCTCTATTTGAGACAGGCCTTTATTTGAGACAGACCTCTATTTGAGATAGACCTCTATTTGAGACTGGCCTCTATTTGAGACAGGCCTTTATTTGAGATAGACCTCTATTTGAGACAGGCCTCTATTTGAGACAGGCCTTTATTTGAGACAGACCTCTATTTGAGATAGACCTCTATTTGAGACTGGCCTCTATTTGAGACAGGCCTTTATTTGAGATAGACCTCTATTTGAGACAGGCCTTTATTTGAGACAGGCCTCTATTTGAGACAGGCCTCTATTTGAGACAGGCCTTTATTTGAGACAGACCTCTATTTGAGATAGACCTCTATTTGAGACTGGCCTCTATTTGAGACAGGCCTTTATTTGAGACAGACCTCTATTTGAGATAGACCTCTATTTGAGACTGGCCTCTATTTGAGACAGGCCTTTATTTGAGACAGACCTCTATTTGAGATAGACCTCTATTTGAGACTGGCCTCTATTTGAGACAGGCCTTTATTTGAGACAGACCTCTATTTGAGACAGGCCTTTATTTGAGACAGACCTCTATTTGAGATAGACCTCTATTTGAGACAGGCCTTTATTTGAGACAGGCCTCTATTTGAGACAGGCCTCTAACTGAGATAGACCTCTATTTGAGACAGGCCTCTATTTGAGACAGGCCTTTATTTGAGACAGGCCTTTATTTGTCAAAATGTGCAAGTGAAGTTTGACAGTATTTAGACTTCTACACAATACTTTATTTTAGTTTTTGACTTTAGATGGGATTCCTCATAAATACGAGGACGCATCGCTACTTGTCTCTCCTTTCATCCAGCCCCTTGACGCTGTGCTTTCATTATTATCAGGGGCAGATTTAGTGATTTGGGGGCCCGGGGCCACAGCAGAACTCTGTCCTGCCTTGTTTCCCTCACTGGAAATGTTGGTAAGTTTTAGGAGAAGTGTCATCATCACAGCGTTCTTAAATTTACTTAAAGTCTGTTCAAAGTGGAGCTTTTAATTCTTATATTATGTTGGTCTGATTTTTCTTTTTTGGTGTTTAGTTTGAGAAAAATCAGCTTAATATAAGAAATTCTTAATTTAAGGTTGACTCGCCAGCTTTTACCTGAGCTTTCAGCCAAATCTCAGGATCTTCATCAGCAGATGGAGTTTGCCAAGTTGATTAAACATTGCTGCCCTCTGGATGTGACCACCTGTTATCACATGAGCAGAGTTACTGATGTAATCAGGTGACCCATCTCCATGACAACTCAGCATCTCTGCTGATAAAGACCATGAGATTTGATCTGAGATTAGAGATAATATCTTTTACACACACACACACACACACACGCACACACACACCCTGGCTGAAGGGAGAGGGACAGAAAGCCGAATGTTTTTTTGGTTCTTGGAAAAACATCTGTGTTTTCTTCTTCTCTCTGCCTCCTATCACAGCTGAGCTGGAGCACAGAGATCGTTTCTTGCAGACAATGTCTCCCTCTGCTGGCCAGGAGGGGGAACTGTGTGAAGGTGGAATAGATGGATAAGGTTTTGTTTTTTTAATCATAAGGTAAAAAATAAACATGCAGACATCCTTCAGCAGACAGACACAAGGTGCATTATTGTGTAAATAAATAACATTCAAAATTACTTAAAATAGCATAAAGAAGTAACAAAGTCACAATAAATAATAATAGTTATCAAAAGATTACATTTAAACAAATATTTAGCATTAATTATAAAAATCCAATAAAGAATAGAGGATAATAAAGGAAAAACAAATAAGAGTTACATTTTTGTGGGGCTCATAAATATAATAATCATAAATGATTCTGGCTTTATGTTAAAAATGTAGATTTATTATCAATGTTGGTAAATGTTTACATGGTCCTACTGTGGGAGTAAATGCTGTGTTGAAAATTATCTATCATGTATTTTATTTAAAAAGACAGATGGACAAGTAGATAAATAGATAACATATAAATGACCTGCTGGATTGACAACAGATCTCAGATTTAATTTGTGACACTGTTTTAAATTTTTTATTTTTTTTTTTAATCTAAATAACTTTGTGCATATATGTCAGGATAGCGTGTTTATTTATTTGTTTATTATTCATATATTCATTTGTGTTAAATGATAACTCTCTCACACACACAGACACACTCAAAAAAACGTTTTAATTGTAATAATAGTTTTTATTTATTTGTTTTTATGGACAACTTTGGCAGATGTTTAAAACTAATAATGACTTTTTACGTGTTTTATTTGTATTTTGAAAAGAAAAGGAAAAACTTTTTACATGCATGAAGTTATACAGGCCTGTAAGTGTCTTACTTTTCATTTGTTCCTTTCTGTAGTAATTCCATGAATATATTGTAAATTAATGTCTGTATTAATATTGTGCTTTGGCCATATGCAGTGATGGGAGGTGCTGAATTTAATTTCAGATTTGATGTACTTTATTTGAGTATTTCCATTTTCTGCAGCTTTATACTCCTCTACACCTCTGAGGGAAATATTTTACTTTTACTGCACTACATTTCTTTTAAATAACTCAGGTTACTTTACAGATTCAGATTATTACAAAATATAATCGATAATAAATGATGACGTATTATTACAGATACTACCCGGGAGTATATAGAGTCATTTCAATGAGCTCCCCCTGTAATTTATTTGTTTTATTAATCCAGTAATATCATGTAAATTATTCTGAAGAGTGACGACTTTGACTTTTGGTACATTAAGTATATATTAATACCGATACTACACTCTACTGTTACTACATTAACTTTAGTAACAAAAAAAAAATATTATTATTATTTATTCTTTTTATTTTTCTCTCTCTCACCTCTGTGTGAGCTGCCGCACGTTGACTCCGCCCACGTGCTCCGGTGTATCCAATCAAGATACCGGGATCGGGGTGAGCTGGCATTAAACGCCGGAAGCCGGAAGTGTTTACAACAGGAAGCTAGGCTAACAGGCTAACTAAGCAACTTGACTGAGCAGAGTGTTTAAAGTTCAGCAGAACAGCAGCGCGTGGAGTCTCTGAGTTTGTGTCCGCGGGATCTTCTCAGGTGAGTCTCACCTGCTGAATAAACACGGATGTTGTACTAAAGCAAAGCTTCCATGAGCTAACAGTTGCTAACTATGTTAGCCTGCTAACTCTAAATTAGCTTTAAGTTGACTTAGCGCGAAAATGTCTCCATGTTGTTGCGGCGAGAACGTCACATATGTTAACATCAGATATGGTCAAACAGTCACAACTATGGTCAAACAGTTTATATTAAGCACTTGTATCTGATCCAAAACAAACCAGCAAGTAGACGGAGCCTGCAAGCCTGCTGGCTAATTCTGCTTCAGGTAATACACGGAGAATAGTTAGCATGCTAAGCTAGTAAACGCCCTGAAAAGTCCTGTCAGATTCCAGTAAGTTAAGACGTTAATTAAAAAAATAAAGACGTTAACGGGCTCGTTCCGTCCCAGTTCATGAACCGTTAAATAAATGAGTTCAGTTCCAGCAAATATACGAACTTGTAATGTTAGTCTCGGGGACTAAAGTTGATGCAGCTCGTTAGAGATTTAAACATTAGTTTAGTTGTTGTTATCAGAGAATAGACAGCGTTTACACGGAGTGGTCAACAAGAGGTTTGCCACATGTTAATTTAATTTATGGTTTTTGGACTAAATGAGTGAATCTGTGACCTGAAGAGACTGAAACAGGACTTTGTTTTTGCTGCGCAGATGAACCGTGAGGAACTCCTCTCAGGTTCGGGGTCTGTGTTCATCCTTAACAAACAGAGACGGTCAGCTGACTGGATGTGATTTAATTAGTGCTGTGATATGAAGAGACACTGAGATCATTCAGAGTGTTTCTTCACTGTAACATTAGCAGCATGACACAGCTGCAGTGAGTCTGAGCTGCCACACCCCCAACAAACAGTGACATCACTCATCAGCTGATCATCCTCACAGGGTGAAGGTTCACTCCATCAGCTCCTCATGTCACATACCAGGCTGTACTGTATTGGGAAAAGGTGTAGGCAGTATATACAGTATGCTCTTCTCTGCTGTGGTGTGCTGGTGTGGCAGCATTAAGAACAGATTTATTTATTTAGCGAATGCAAAGTCCTTCAGCCAAACAGTTGCCATCTGATCTGCTATATGGAGGGTGACTAAGCCTCCTTCAAGTCTTTGTAGAGGGCAAGCTTCAATGATGTGTTGCATTGTTTGCTCCTCTCCACAAGCACAAAGTGAGCTTGAGCTGCTGCCCCACTTGTGAAGGATGGCCAGGCAGGGGCCATGTCCAGTCCTGAATCTGTTTAGGGTTGACCACTGTCTCCTTGGGAGGTTGGTGCCAGGGACCAGTAGGATGGGGTCTGCCACCAGATGTTTGTTTGGGACGTCTTTGGACTCCCATTCCTTTTCCCAAACTGATTGGATGGTAAAGTCAGCTGGTGGGGGATTCTTCCAAATTGGACGTCTAGATGGAAGTCGGGCAGTGGGTGGGTTGAAAATGTCTGTGTAGATTGGTAGATGAGGGGAGTCTTTGGCCTTTTGGAGCATCCTTTGAGTGAAGGCTACTCGCCGGATGTGTGGAGGGGCTATGTTTGATAGGATGGGGAGCCAGGGGAGTGGTGTTGAGCGGATTGTCCCGGTGATGATCCTCATGGTTGTGTTGAGTTGGGTGTCCACATGGTGTGTATGGGGTGACCTGGACCAAACAGGGGCGCAATATTCTGCTGAGGAGTATGCCAGGGCCAGCGCTGAGGTGCGCAGTGTGGGGGCTTCTGCCCCCCATTTTGAGCCAGCAAGCTTGCAGAGCAGGTTATTTCTGGACTTCACCTTAGCTGCCGTTCCTTTAAGATGTTCCTTGAAGGACAGGGTCCTGTCAAGGGTCACTCCAAGGTAAGTTGGAGTGGGGGCGTGCTTCGGTTTAAGTCCGCTCAGGTGGATGTTCAGTTCTCTGGCAGCTTCAGCGTTGTGGAGGTGGAACACACTGGAGACTGTTTTTGCTGGGCTTGGTTTTAGGCGCCAGGTTTTGCAGTACTGGTCGAGTTTGGCGAGGTCCTATTATGAACAGAGACGCTACGCAACCGGTCAGGCTGCTGAGGAGAGCTGGCGCTGTAGTTGGCACAGACCTGGACTCTGTTGTTTCAGTGGCAGAGAGTAAGACCCCAAACAAACTGCTGTCCGCCATGATCACTGCACAGCACACTCACTAAGCAGACGATTATGTTCAGTGGCAGAGGTCTCTCTGAGTCCTGCTCATCAGACAGACTGAGGACGTCTGTTGTCCCCCAGGCCATAAGACTGTTCAGCTTCTCTCAGAGACGGCAGGTTGGAACAGACTGAAGCTCACCTGCTCACCTGCATTCTGTCTTTATGCTGCTGGACTGGTTGTCAATCTTTGCACACTTTGCATTTGTACTGTTTGCATTTCATATTTTATGTTTTCCAGCATTCCTTATTCCTTATTACACTCAGGTTTTATTACTCAGTGCTTGACGCTAACTTTTTTCCCAAGGAGCACATGTGCTCCTAAGTTGAAAAGTAAGGAGCGCACAAAGAACTTTAGGGGCACAATGTAAATTGATCAAATAATGTGTTTTCTGTAATAAACGTGATGCAAATAGACATTTACAAGCAAAATTATTTAATGAATTTGTATACAAAATGTACAGAAAGGTAAAATCATCAAGTTTTGAAAAAGTATTGCAATTTAATTTTGTCTTTAATGTTATTATCTTATATATATTATCTTTGCAATATGATTATCTTATATAATGTTATTACTATCCTAAAACATTCTCCAGGTCCTCTGAAACTCTGCAGGACTTATTTCCACCCTGCCCAGCAGCAGTACCGTGGCAAAAGGTCCCTAACTGCGGGGAGACGGAGCAGGCTTCCCCAGAGGTCCGCCGCTTAACCCGGTCCGTCTCCTTCACACTTTGACTTATTTCCACGCTGCCCAGCAGCGGTAGCTTGGAGAACAGTCCCTCACTGCGGGGAGAGGGGAGAGGTCTTCCCTGGAGGTCCGCCGCTTAACCCGGTCTGTCTCCTCCGCCACACTTTGACTTATTTCCACACTGCCGACAGTGGGACTTATATTCATTGTGCTGACAGTGGCTTGGAAAACCACCCATAACCGTGTCACACGGGGAAGAGGGAAGGTGGCTGGAGTTCCTCCAACATTTGTGGTTAGATTATCATATTTTTTTATTGACAAAAATATAGGCTGCTTTACAGTTTGCACACACCTATTTTTAGTCGCAAATGCGAGTGAAACGCCCGCACTGTCAAGCGCTGTTACTTGTAAACACCTTCTACACACACCAAAAAAACTGCAAGTCACCAGCTATGTTAGCCTTATGCACAGTCTGAATTTGCACTGGTATATGTTGACATATTTATCTTCAATCTGTATTTTATATCATTCATATAGCATAGCTTTCATTATTCCTGCACTACACTTTTGTTGTGTTGTTATGTTTTTCTCTATCTCCTTGGCCAGCTGCTTTGTATCATAAAGGATACATACATGTGTGTCCATTTATTTAGTGACCAGTGAAATCAATCTGTTGACAGAATATTTGTGATGCTTATGAGTTAACACAGTTCAATCAGCCTGTTGTGTCGTCTTCTGATATCATGTGATGATCACACCTGGAGATTTGCAGTCAAGTATTCAGGCCTCTTTCTGTCCTTCTCTGACCATTTATTATTTTAAAAAAATTCAAATGTCATTTGTAGAAATGTTCCTCTTTGTGGTGCAGCTAATTAGCAGTTAACATAATTAATGGCTTGAAACAGGAGATACATGCAGCGTAATGTAAATCTATTCTAATCTCTACGATCTGATAATACTTTAGTAAATCTACATCATATCGTATAAATCGTAGTCATATTGTGCCACTGTGACTGAAGGCTGCTGGAAACTGTTGGGAAAGTTATTGTTAGTTAGGTCTGTTTAAATGCTACTCGAATTATGTTTGGCTGAAATAATATTCAGCCACATCACGATACAGAAATATGTTTAAGTACAAAAGAAGGTTTCTAATGTCAGTAATACACAGTTTATTAAGTTATTGTCCTTTATTAACAAACATTTCTGTTTTTAGACGCTGTAGCCTGTTATATAGAGATGTGTTCAGACATTTTTGTTTAGTCACAAAAAAGGCTGCACATGGGACTTATATCTTATCTGCAGGAACAGATGAGTTCGGCACTGTTCATCAACTTATATGACATATACTGTATGTAGGGTTGGGTACTGAAACTCGGTACTGTTTGTACTTGGTACCGATTCACGTCGGTACTACCGAGTACCGATTCACTTAAAATGAATCAGTGCCAAATTTCGGTATCTGAGGTGGAGGCGGAGCGAGAGCGCATGACTCGCACCTCAGACTCAGCAACAATGGCAACAAAAAAAATGTGCAGACAGAAGTTAACGTGCAGCACTGTTCCTAAATGTTCTCAATAAAATGTTGAAACTGAGAAGTTTAGACTTTAAAAAATACCGAAATAAGGTACCGTTTGGTGTCGGTAACGAATTCCAGATACCAGTACCGTATCAGTTCAATTATGAACGGTACCCAACCCTACATATATGTGAATATGACAGCAGCGATAGTTTAGTGTTTCCATGGCAACAAGAAAAACAGTGTCAGTAGCTTGCAGTCTCTGCCCTCGCAGACTTTACGTGATGACAGTAAATACGTTACACTACGTACAACTGAAGTCCGTGAGGGCTCAGTCCACAAGTCTGGAAAGAAGTCAAGTGTATTTTTTTTTACAAACTTGACACATTCGTGAGTCACTTGTGGTCCATTCAGAATGGACACTTGGCCCACTTTTGGACTGCAACCCACCAGTTGGGAACCACTGAAATAGAGAATATCATAGTGTTAGGTATGCTCACATCTGCTTTACTGAGCTGGCACAGACTCCACAAGTTTTGTAAAACCTGATGGCCCACGTTCTCCCAGCGTGACTTGACACGGATCCAGAGGGCTTCTCGTGATGTCACAGAAAAAATATTTTTTCTAGCGGATGTCTTAGTTACAACATAATTGAGCTAACTGGAGTAGTTTCATGTCGTATCCGACAACGGGAGGCTTTTAACAGATGACGTCCTGATGTTAGCTTTGCTGCTGCTGTCAGCTGATGCTTTCTAGACATAGTGATTTCCCAAAACTGAATAAATACTACACATAGCAACACAAAACTGCTTTGCTAGCTCAATCATGTTGTAACTAAGATATCCGCTGGAAAGAATATTTTTTTCATGGGCCATTTAGTGAGTTTTTTTTACATGGCGGCGAAAGCTATATGAACGAGCTAACCCTCGTCTGCTGAAAAATGCCGGCTATTTTGTAGCTTTCCGTTGTCATCACATCCCTCCTTGAGTATATCCAATCAGCACCAAGTAACCCCCAAGCCCCAGCTGGGAGTCTTTCGGGGCCGTTCTGAGTACCTACCCCGAGGCAGGGACTTGTTTAGCCCCCGTAAAAGTTCCGGGACTCTGTCCTTCGGGGGTGGTTCCTGCGGTGGAGACACGCACCAACGGCCCCGGCCCCGTAAAATTACCCCGAAGTTCCTGTGGTGGAAACGGGCCTATTGTAGTTATTGCAAAGCTTTGAGGAGTGTTTGGGGTCATTATACTGCTGCAGTTTAGATCCTTCGACACAAAAGATGGAAACCAGAGGGTGCAGCATGTCTGAAGAATGCAGCGGTTCTTCTCTGAGGTCAGTTTGGTGCCTCCAGATCGACTACTGCACCCTCTATGATTATGTTTCAATTAGGGATGTCCCGATCCAGCTTTTTCACTTCCGATCCGATACCGATATCACAGCCTTGAGTTTTGGCCGGTACCGATACCGATCCAAGCACGTATTATACATATTCACTTATTTTGTTGTCAGTCATGTTAGAAAAGGTTTGATCAAGCAAAGAACAACTACTACTTAATCAGGTTAGTTAGAATGATCCACAACAGTTGGTATGAGAAACTGACCTGTTTATTGTTAACAGGGTTAAATAAACAAACTTTAAACTTGAACATTAACATTAAATAAAAAATATAGCTGGTTTGCTTTGGCTGCTTTGGCTCCCTAATAAATAAAAAATAGATTAACACCACAAGACATTGTTGACATTTAACAAACAATGCAGCCTTTCCTTTTCAGTTATTTTAGTAGTGTTTTTGTAGTCCATCCATGGCCCCAATTTCACTAATTGTGCCCAAAACAATGCCATCAGTGCTTTTTACTTAAACAGTAAGAGTGTAAACCAAATAAAAATATCACTCTCAAAAAACCAGAGCAGAAAACAAATAGTCAGTTAACTAAATTGACCGCTACTCTTCCTACCCTTCCCTCCGTGTGTTTCTGCCGTCTGCATGCTGGCCCGGTGGATTGATAGTAAGAGCTGGAGCAGATCATGGAGTTCATGGATCGGCGTTTTTCCATGCAGTCCAATCCGATGCCGATGCCCGTTTTTTGCTAATATCGGCGGCCGATACCGATCCGAATATTGGATCGGGACATCCCTAGTTTCAGTGTCGGGTTGATAGGCTGCAGCGTTACTGTCTCCTGTTCGTCTCCTTACATTTACTCTTCTGTTACTGCCATGAATCATAAACTTGGATTCATCAGTGAAAAGCACTTTATCCACTGATCCATTGTGAAATACTGAGATTTCTGACCCCACCCAGAGCACTCGGCCTTGTTCACCCTTTCAAGAAGTGGTTTAGAAACAGCTACTTCTGGGACCATAACCAGACGTCCTGCTTTTGAAAGAACTCTTGCTGACTGGAGTCTTATGTTCTTTATTTAGCAAATTCTGTAACTATGATGAAGTTGCTTTTCTATCTCTCAGTGAACTAAGTGCCTGTTTACACCTGGTATTAATGTGTTGTAGTGATCCAAACACAGGTGGACAGCTGAGACACATCGCTGTTAATGCTTGTGTCTGTTATGTGCCGCCTGCTGAACACTTGTGTTCAGATTTCATTAAAGCCTACCTCACTAACGCTAGAAGCTCAAAGGGCTCAGTTCACAGTTTTTACGTCCACACTCTCACTAACATGCTCATTAGTAGGGATGGGCAGCACAAGCAAAAACACTGTTCGAAAATCATGGCAACTATTCGACGATTTTTCGGGGGTTGTCGCGCTGCTCCCGTTGCCGGTGGAGCCGCTGTAATTGATTAACAGGGGGGTGAGCTGCTATGGGATTCGCGCTGTAGACGTGTCGCGCCGCTGAGCCCGGCCGTACGGTCCCTCGCCGCCTCCTGCGTGCCTCGCTCTCAAATGACTGTGCATACTTGTAGACTTGTGACACGCAAGCTTTGCCTCACAGAGTTTGCACTGCACCTCATTTTCGTTTATTTTGTCGAAGTTGAGAACTTTCTGATGACTGTAGTAGTCTCTGCATGTTTCTCCTGTTTGTAGAAGAGCATCAAACTAGCTGGTAGCCCATCTCACACCGCTGTAGCAATCCTATACTGCCCTCGTGCGGTTAGGAGCTGAATTGCATGTCAAATAAAGGGGGAAATAAGACGGCGAATAGTAATAGTCGCATTAAAAAATCGATTTTTCAAAATAAAACGACTATTCGAAAATTCGAAAATCGTGACCCATCCCGACTCAATAGTCACGTTAGCAGTTGTTTCGATAAAGCTGGAGATATCGCTGTCAGTGGAATTCAACATGTCTCCTTAGATCGGGCACAACAATGGAAGGTCACACAACACTTGGTCCAACTGTTCGATAAAAGGACAGGTTATAGAGCATGGACACGCTGTCACCAAAACAACCACCACTTCCTTTGTCAGTGACGTAGTTCTTGTCGGGGATGCATCAGGACTTATTAGCATTTACACTATAAAAGATAAATGTGATCAAATGTGTCCCACACCACCTCAACAGGTGTGTGTGTGGTCGTTTACACTTGTATTCAGCACTGTCCACTTGTGGTCGGATCGCCCAAGACGCTGGTTAATACCAGGTGTAAATAAGCTCTAAGCTTAATGCATTGGTCTGCTGATGGTGTGGTCACTTTTGCTCTGCCTGATGGTGCTTTGGATACTTAATGTTGAGTCTCTGCAAAGTGTTTAAGAGTTCATGGACTGACTCCTGTATAAACCTTTATTGTGGACATGATCTGACACTGACAAGCCCCTCTTTGCTCAAAATAACAATTCAGTGTTATCCAATCTAAACATTAGATTTCTTAAAGCAAAATGTAAAAGTATTTGGACTTGTGGACCGACCTCATGCAGCTCAAAGACACAACAGAGAATGTACGTTGTAAAGAAATGGGTATATGAACAAGTACATCTATTGGTGACCTTTATGATATTGGTTTGTGTTGAGTCTGTGTACAGGTGCCTTTTTGATTATGCTGTAAACCAGTTTCCCCACACAGACACATACAAGCATGTGTGTGTATTGTTGCTGTAAACTGGTCTCAGGTGTCTGTTTGTGTCTTCTGATCAGGAGTCAGGATGAGTCTGCAGTGGATGGCGGTGGCCACCTTCCTGTACGCTGAGGTCTTCCTCGTTCTGCTGCTCTGCATCCCCTTCATCTCACCTAAGAGGTCAGTGCTCACCTGTCTGATTCACACCTGTCCCTCTGCACAACAACACAATATATCTAGAACGTCTTAAGGGAATTTCTTTAGCTTTGACACAAACGTCCACCCTGACTGAAGAATAAACTGATCAGAATTTTGTGGTCAAAGGTCAGTGTGACCTCAAAATATGTGTATGGCCATAACTCAAGAATTCATACACTAATTATTAGGGGTGTTACGATCCATTGATCTGGATTGTTACATCGATTAAATGATCAATGATCAAATGTCATTGATGCAAAATGAAAACACGGATCTATATCATCATCTTTAGGAAATGCTTTTATTTGGCAAGTCTGTGTCACCGTCAAACAGCAGCTGATGAGGATCTGTGTTTGGCATCTCCGCTACCTTTTTACTACGGCAAAATCAGCTGCTGTTCCAACAATGTTCAGCTGAAAAAGCGTGCATGCAGGCTGAAATTCATCCAGGCTGAAATTCATCCAGGCTGTTCTGTCAGGAGACGCAGAGAATTAAACTAAGGGAGAGGAAGAAAAAAATAATGTTACATGTAATCTGTGAAGCTGTGAGTAGAGGAAAAACGTCTGCTAGCCTCTAGGCTAATTTATGTAATGTAAGCATGCTTAAGCTAATAATGTGTGACTAGCGAAAAACAACAGTTTTGTCTGTGAACCTCGACAGTTGAGCCGAGTTTGATATTTTAGTCAAATGATCTTGTTTTATGGCTGTAGGGAGAAGTTTGTCTTCAGGGCTTTGAGCCAGGCAGACCTGAAGGTTAACTTACTCACTGTGCTGTTTAACTTGTGTTAGAGGAGTCAGTTTAAAGTAAACTTTACTGAACTTAACCAGTTACAGTTATTTACAATATTTATATGTTATACGTGTGTCGGGTCGGACTGATGACATGTAGTCTGATGCTGGCCTGAATCTGGTGTTGGATCTATCAGAGGAAGCGTTAACTGGAAGTCAAACAGTTCCAGCTGAAGAAGCTTGAAGCTGATTGATTTTTCGGTCTGTGAGCTGAAACACAGAGCAGCTGTGTGTGTGACTGTGAGCACATTAAAACCTCCTGATAGAAAAACCACCCAGCTCTGATTAACTCAGCACACACAACAGAGACCTCACTGATCCCACGGCTGATGTCAGACCCTTTTGATCACTACAAAATCCCACTGGAGCCGCTGAACTGACCTGGAGCTCTGAAACTGTGAGGAATGATCATGATGGAAAAAAGAGACGAGCTGCTGGAGAATAAGTTCACAGCTTTTAAAGACTGGTCTCAGTTCTTGGTTTAAAACAGGATTCCTAGAATATAAAGGTGTCGTCTAATCTCAGGAAAAACACTATATTAAAGTATGTTGTGAAGAACTGTGAACATTTTTATAGAGTTGTAAGTGTCCTGATTGATGAACTTAACTTGGGATTTGTTTCTCCAAGTTACCTGATGAATTAGATCTGTGAAGCATCCATTTCTTCATACCTTTCTGAAATTTCACGGGGTGTTCAGGTGTATGGTGTACGGTATGTGACGGTGTTTGTGTGGCATTGATGACTGTCTGTATTTTTGACAGTATTGAAATTCATTCTGTCTAGATGCCTACAGTATATACCCGGTACAGAGTCCTGCATGGGTCCATATTTGAAAACCAGCACCCACCCATACCTGTAAAGCTCAGTGCAGACCCAACCCGTTACCCGTCATTATGTCTAAGTCACCCATTAATTAAAGTCCTGCGCCCCTCCCCCCCGATCAACACCCCCAGGCACCAGTCCCACACATGAAGCTGGTTCTCCGTTCTTGAATTGGACGTCTCTTTGACTGGATGTTGGAAACATTCAATCACTGCCAGGTTAGGAAACATGTTAGCATGCTCCTTCCACCACCATCAAACCTCCAAAGGATCTGAACTCCATGTAGGCTGCCACCTCATCCTCGGGCTGCAAAGTGTCATGGCTGGAGTCCTCCATGTCGGTGACCAATGTGACCACGGGGTCAAAGGTTACACTGGTGTCACTGACTTTCAAAATAAAAGCAACTGTCAGAATATTACTGCACATCTTTTTACTGACTTTTATTCTGAAAAATAAAAAGCACGTTGTCGTTCTCACCTGCTGCCCACGATCAGCTGATCAGCATGTTATTTTTTTCTTGCTGTGTTGTTGTCTCAGACCACTAGATGGAGCTGTACCTCCAGTTAACCAGCCTGAGCTGTGTCTGTCTTCAGACTGTGATCCTGTGATCCATCCTGTACTCTGTGTGTCTGTGTTATATTATTATGTATCTGTTCTGCTGTGTTATAATGTGACTGTGTTTTATTCTCCAGGTGGAATAAAATCTTCAAGTCTCGGATCATCCAGACCATCGCTCTCTATGGAAACACCTGGTTCATGGTGGCCATCGCCATCCTCGTCTTCCTCCTCATCGGTGTGTGTGTGTGTGTGTGTGTGTGTGTGTGTGTGTGTGTCAGTAGTTTTCATTATCTCAGAATAAAGTTTTCTTATTGTAGCTGCATGCGTGTCTTTTATCTATTTGTTTATTTTATTCTCTGTGTATCTGTACTTCTGCCTTTGTGTAACAGCTAAATTTCCCCTCTGTTAGTCTTGTCTTGTCTTCCGAGGGCTCTATACAGTAGATATATTCTGTATGTTCACACTCAGATAAAATGGAGGACAGTAAATGTGGTGCATTATGTCATAAACGGTGATTTCAGTTTTCTGTTTCTGAAAAAATGAAATGCTTTGTGCAGCATTCAAGTTGTCTGATCATCAAGTGTAGTTTCAAACTGTAGGATACACGCTGATGATGCTCTTTCTGTGTGTGTGCGCGTACAGACGCTTTCCGTGAGGTGAGGAAGTACAGCGTGACTGAGAAGGTGGATCTGACCAACAACCCGACGGCCATCGAACACATCCACATGAAACTGTTCAGAGCTCAGAGGAACGAGTACATCGCCGGCTTCGCCCTGCTGCTCTGCCTGTGAGACACACACACACAACACACACCACACACACACACACACACACACACACACACACACACACCAGGGTATATTCTAAGACAAAGGCATCAACATTATTTTTACACGGCTGCTTTATGTATTTATCTTCTCCACGTGCAGCTCTGTGTTGCTCCAACAGGTGATAACTACACAGAACTGAAGTTTTAAATATAATAAAAATAGTGGACTCATTGTACCAGAGGAAATGTGATGCAGCAGAGCAACCTCTTGTGTTTTTATGCCTCTGCGCCGTCAATAGTTATTAATTCAGTACCAGTTAATATAGTCGTTACACACCCAGACCCTGTAGAGCCAACTGTGTTTTCACTGTCAGAACTCAGTACACACAGTGAAGCTGCAGCAAGCACACCAGGTGAAACACCCCGTCCCGCCTACGTGACAAGCCGCATGCGTGCCTTGTGTATTTCAGATGTAAGCCAGGCAGGGGAAACCCGGCGCGCACGCACGCATGCACACACATGCACACACACACACACACACACACACACACACATGCACACACACACACACACTCAGTCACTTAGTCACTCACAGCGACAGACAGACTGATCTAAATGCAGACGAACTTTACAGTAGGATGGAAAGAATGAGCAGCTGTGTGTGTGTGTGTGTGTTTCCATTGACAAACACTCACTGTACAGTGTAAATCTTCCTGCCTGGTCCTGATTGGACAGAGCACCGAGGTGTAAATCTGTCTTGATCCCTGATTGGCTGACCGGCTCAGACATTGGTTTAAAGATGAATGAAATGTGATTGGTTTCAGAGTTTTGTGACTCGGCGTGTTGTGATTGGAGGAGAGCTTGTTGTTGGGCTGATGTTGTGTGACTGTTACTGACTGATTATCAAACGCTGCAGCTCAAACTTCACTTTGTCTCAGATAAATAAAGAAATTCACTAATTCAGAAACTTTTCCAGACTCTTGACTTTGTTGACATGTTGCTGATGGGTCTGTGACATGTGGTCAGACTGTCCCAGTGTCAGCACTGCTGGTGACTGACGAAAGAGGAGAGAACGGGAATAAGACCCTCCACTAATGTCAGAAGAATCTTAACCTTCGGTGAGGAAGAGCAGTGGTACTACACCACACAGTAAAGACGGTTTTCATGGTCACATGGTGACTGAATTCATCATGAGACATATCAGCATCTGATTCACCTCACAGGGCTCAAAATACCTCTCTGTGTACGTGCACTGATGCATGTCACTTCAAACAGGTTTTCTTTCTCAGCACTTCTGCTACTGCCAGATCAAACATCCAACAATACATCATGCTGTGTTTGACTAAAATCAGGCAGACGGTGGACGGCAAACTGACTGTTATGTTAGTGGACTAGAGCAGGACGGTAGAATAAGATAAGATAAGATAGGATATCAGTGATGGTGACAGTAGACCGCAGTGCCATTCAAAGTGAAAATATTTAAACGTTTTGTTGTCCTCCATGACAGAATTTACAACCAGATTTTACGAAGCTCCTTCACACAAGAAGAAAATGCAGGCGATCTGGACATTACTAGAAATATTCCATTCGTTGTAAACAATATGATTCCACCATCACAACATTCTCTCTTTCAACTCGTCACATATCGCCGCTTGTTCAGTGGACTGTCATGTCTACATATGATGCGTCAGGTATCCTGGTTGCATCTGTTGACAATCTGAGATGCAGTGGCAGTTTACGGCTGTTACATTACACGTGTCTTTTCAAAATAAATTCTTACAGGACGTGTTCAGTTTCTGCTCGTTAGATACAGACTGTCTTTTTGAAAATAGACTTACAACGTTGGTGAAACACCCCGAATTTATGTTTATTTTCTTGTGCCACAAACAAACGCAGTAAGGTTTAGGCAACAAAAGAATGTGGTTAAAAAAACCCATCATGGTTTGGCTCATCATTCATACAGAAGTGAACAGCGGCCTCCCAGGTGAAAGTCCGGGCTTTGTTTGACCCATCCACCTCCACCCACCCTATAGGGACTCTCCAGCTCCTTCAGTAACGTTGTTTTCCAGCGACATTATTTCAGGCCTGTCAAGTTACTGACGGCCATATTTGGAGGCGGGAGGCGGACTAACATGTCGATGGTTTTAGTCTTAAAGGTGGAATTTGTTAACAAGAAGAAAAAAATATAGAATAACAGCAGACTTTATTCTTTAACAGTTCGAAAAGACTTTCTGTCTTCATAAGAAGCTTTTAGACTTTTATGACTGTTGATTAAAAATTATGATGTTGACACGTGCTCGTTTGCATGTGTCGACCTTTTGAATCTGCAGTCTGTACATCATAATTTTTTTTGGCAGCACACCATTGTCCTCTGAGATGGTGCGACCGGTGTCTTGCTTTTCTTCACAGACGTGCAAAGTATGAATAAAAACATGTTTACTTCAATGTGTTTGTCAGCAGAGATGCATATTAAATTGGATTTATATTTCAGCAGATATGTCAGGAGGTGTTTCTTCATTCACTGAAGTGTTACCGTGCAGAATGATGAACGTACACAGTTTGACACCAGCAGACTGTTTTCACTTCATCTGAAGTTGCTCTGCGCTGAGTTGAAGTGTTTGTGCAGGAGCTCTCTGTGACATCATGACTCCTGTGAAAGCTGATCGCGACTCCGTAAGCAGCATCTGCATTTCTTCAGGTCCGACACTCAGAGTTGACCTGTCAGGGTAGTAAGAGACACGTTTAATGGAGCAGTTAAACTTCTGGCCCCGAAAATATTTGTTTGTTCACAGATTCTGGATTTCACATAGATAGATGTGCTTTTAAGAACTTTTAAACAGTGAATTCAACTTTTTTTGTGAGTGAATATGATATCACACAAATGATTATAAGGAGGAGCGTGTTTATACGTCTACAGGGGATCTTTGAGGGGGACCTGTCATGCTTTTCCCTACTTTGTCAAATATATAATGGATGTTTGTATTAAACGTGGTCAGAGTTTCAGATAATGAGGTCAACGTATTCATGCTGTATTTCTATTTCTACTTTGCACGGAGCATTGGAACAAAAACAATTCCCCCCCGGGGATTAATAAAGTATTCTGAATCTGAATCTGAATAGCAGTAATCTCTGTGAGTACAAACCTCAGGAGGCTTCACTCCGTCCTGAATACTCTCTTTCCAAAAAGACAAACCGACGTCAGCTGGTAACAAATTTCCAGGCATGCTATTGCAGGTGTTTATATTACACACACAGATACATGTAGCTACACGCTAATGTCTGGGAAGTATTTAATCACGGTTACGGACGTTGATGTCGGATTATATTCTTGCTGGAACATGTCCGGTTGTGTTTAGAAGCTGTTATTGTTGAATTTTCACAGAAGAAAGTGCTGATGTCATTCCCCACTGCATGATGGTGCAGAGACACTGAGATACAGAAGACCCGCAAACACCGACCAGTCAGAGCAGACTGGGCTTTTTTTGGGAGGGGCGTTTAAAGAGACAGATGCTCAGACAGAGGGTGAATACAGGGCTGCATTCAGCCCCGACAAAACATTAATTCAAGCAAGAACAGTGGTATGTTGAACACCCTGTTGTGTTACACTGGGGTGTTGCCTTTTAATACAGTGGGGTTTAAGTCAGTTCATTTTAAAGGGCTTTATTGGCATCATGGGAAACATGTTGCATTGCCAGAGCAAGTGTAAAATATTTTTAAAAATCTAAATACATAAGCATCTACTAGACATTTATTTATACACATGTCGCCGCTCATTGGATAACACCTCTGACACACTACTGAGAGAAAACGTACCTCCAATCCTGTTTCAACACCATTTTGAGACAGTGAAAACGTGTCCCAGGTGTTCCAGCACTGACAATATGAGGAGAAAAAATGTTTTTGGAACATTAAATATGTAAACATTAGGGGTGGGAATCAGTAGAGGATCTATGATACCATATTATCGCGTTACTTAAAGGGGAACTAATGTTTTTTTCAACCTGGGCCCTATGTTCAGATCTACTTTTGTCTAAATGAGTGATAGGATGTTCAATATGTGACATGTCTCCAGTATGAAGCTAGGGCTGACCTGCCTGCAGCCTGTGAGCGCACGCTATATTAAATAATAGGGCACTCAGACAGCGTCAAACAACGTCAAAATACGTCCACTAAAAGTGCATTTTTTTCACACAGATAGGCTCGGATTGTTAGTATAATTATCTGACAACATAACGGAAAGGAGAAATGAACGTGTGTGTTTACCTTTAGCTGGATTCAGACATGTTCCTCTGCCTGTTGCTGCTCCCTCTCTCTCCTCGTCCGCTCTTCAGTTTCAATGAGCTCTGCGTCCGTGTACGTCCGTGTACTCCGTGTTCAAATAAACACGGGCGCTCATCACATTCAAATGGCTCATCCAGATCCAGTTGGTGTGACAAGTCAAAACACTCACTCAGAAAGTGAAAGTCTGGCTCTGAAATCTCACGTCTCGCCAGATTTAAGTTGTTGCAGGAAGTTACCGCTGGACTTACCTTACAAACGCGAGGAGTTCCTCTGTTTGGAGTAGTCATGGCTGAATTTTGACCTGATTTTGACCAACTGGATCTGGATGAGCCATTTGAATTTGATGAGCGCCCGTATTTATTTGAACACGGAGTACACGGACGTACACAGACGCAGAGCTCATTGAAACTGAAGAGCGGACGAGGAGAGAGAGGGAGCAGCAACAGGCAGAGGAACATGTCTGAATCCAGCTAAAGGTAAACACACACGTTCATTTCTCCTTTCCGTTATGTTGTCAGATAATTATACTAACAATCCGAGCCTATCTGTGTGGAAAAAATGCACTTTTAGTGGACGTATTTTGACGTTGTTTGACGCTGTCTGAGTGCCCTATTATTTAATATAGCGCGCGCTCACGGGCTGCAGGCAGGTCAGCCCTAGCTTCATACTGGAGAAATGTTACATATTGAACGTCCATTGCAATAAAATATATTGTGTTTTATTACCTTTTTGTTTTAAACTGTAGGTTTAAAGTCCCCAAAGGAAAACTTAATCATCATCAGTTTTATCCTTTAAGATAAAGTTTTCAGACTGTACGTCTGACTTCAGACGTTTTATTGCAGCAGTAAAAAGCACTTGATTATATTTTTCCATCGGCAACCTAAAGTTTAGTTTGTATTTGTCATATTAAGAATTTATATAATAACAAAATCAATACTTGGTGCTGTGTGATGATATGATATCATATCGCCACACAAAAATATGGCGATACTGTGCTGTATTGATTTTTTTCCTCCAGCCTGGGTGAACACGTTGTAGTAGAAACCTTAAACACAGTCTGACCCTGAGAATGAGCAGAACAGATCCTCTTAAGTGAAACATGTAAAAACAGCGGACTGATCCTTTAATCGTCTCCAGCTCTCACTGCCTGTAGATGGACAGGACTGGGAGCAGGTATCTTTAATGATTGGCGCCTGCAGCCCCGCCCACCCCCACCATGACATCACAACCTGTCAACGCTACACACAGCATGTACGGCACGCACACCTCAGCTGGAAAATGTCAGGGTGTGTTGTTACTATATGTGAGTGTGAAGTGGTGAATGGCTATATTAGGATGTGTATGATGTGTTGACAGATGATCTGATGTACACACACACACGCACACAGTCATGTGTGTGTCTAACAGCTGATGCTGCAGGTTGTGTCAGGGCTCAGGTGTTGTCATGTTGTTGTTGTTCTCACCTCAGCGACTCGTTGTCTCTGTCAGGTTGACTCCAGCTGTTTCTCCTCTCTGCAGATAGAATAATTATCAGTTAGTCATCCTGCAGCAGGTCGTCCACTCGTCCACCTCGCCATTGGTGGTTCAGACCCTGATGTAGTTTAGAGTCTGATCAATACGTCCACCAGGCGGATATTAACTTTATTAATTACGTCAGTGTTCATTCATGTCGACTGAGACGTGACACAGGAATGTTGATAATGTGTTGAACATATGTTCTTGATTTGAATTCAATGTGTTAATGGAAGAAAGTTTCTTATTGGTCTCACGCCGCCGGCTCATGCCACTTCCTGTTTTGTCTCGTAACTTCCTGTTGCTATTGCTACAATAGTTACAGAGTCAAGCAAGTCAAAGCCTTGTTTCTGAGTTTGTTGCAAACACACGTCTGCATGTATGAGGAGGTCGTGTGTATTAGGTGAAGCTAAACTTTGACCTTGTCATGATGTGGGGCGCCCAGTAGCTCAGCAGGTGGAGCAGGCGTCTCATGTACAAAGTCCTCGCCGCAGCGGCTGCAGGTTCAACAACCTGCCTGGTGTCGTCTCGTCTAATGCAGCAAAACCCAGAAAAACAAAACGTTCTCATGATGTGTTCAGTGTGATCTAAATCTCTCTTTTAAGAGGAGAAAGGAGGGTGAGGAGCTCCTGGACCTATTTGCAGACATTTTCAGCTGCTAACTGCTAACACCTGCTTTTTAAATCCCCTGTGGTGGATCGCACACATAACACGTCATCAAAACGTCACTGGGCGGTCCTGTTCTTTTGGCTTTCCTTTTAACACAGACGTTAACTCGGTGCTGTTACTTCCTCCATAGTGGCTAAAAGCTGAGACAGCTGTGTACTGGAATGTGCATAATCAGTGGAGTGTGACGTTGAAGCAGCTTTCGTTGTTTGACCTGTTTGTGTTTGTGTTTCTGTTTGCAGGTTGCTGCGTCGTCTCGCCACTCTGCTCTCCCAGCAGGCCTCGCTCATGGCCTCCAACGAGGCCTTCAAGAAGCAGGCAGAGGGCGCCAGCACCGCCGCCAAGAAATACATGGAGGACAACGAGCTGCTGCAAGAGGTGACACGCACGCATGCACACACGCACACACGCACACACAACACATCATTTATTATTTGTGTGTGTGTGTGTGTGTGTGTGTTAGATGTTGCTATTTCATGAAGTCAGCAGTGGGGGGCAGCACTGATCTGCAGCTGCTGGGCTGAACCCAAATAAACAGTGGAAATATTCAGAGAGCAACACGAAACACACACTATCTTTGTCTCATTCACAATGTGCACACTCTATCTCTCTCTCTCTCTCTCTCACTCTCTCACTCTCTCACTCACTCACTCACTCTCACACACACACACACACACACACACTCTGTGGTAATCTGACCTGGGTTTGTTCAGGGTGAAGAGATCACCAAGTCCTCCACTGCTAAAAGGAGATATTGCTTCATCTGCATGTGACAGACACACACACACAATATCGGTGCTCTGTACTCAGGGAATTTCTGCTATGAATGAGCTTAAGTAGTTTGTACAGTCTGCTCTGTTGGTTTTCTAAAGAAACTTTTGAGCGTGTGAGTGTGTGTGTATGTTGGGAAACGCAGTGACACATCTCCACAATGTATCACACCCACCACAGAATTTGAAATAAGGAAAGTTCATTAAGTTATGTTTGAGTGACTCATGAATTTGAGAAACAGTTGAAAAGTAACAGGGTTGTTCACAGGTGAAAGTTTCTCACTGATACGTTCCCACTGTTTAAGATTTATTTTGTTAAAAGGGTTCGATGTATAATTCACATTTGGAAAGAAGAATGATTTGAGTGGAAGTCCCACAGTGTCTCATGACAGCGGGGAATACTGTGAGAACTTGTTTCCAGTCCAGAGACGTGTCAGTGAGCCTGGACAGTATTTTAAATGACGTGTTTGTAAAGAGGACTCTTTATAACCTGAAAGCATCAGAGACCATTCAGAAGTACAGAGTCCTCCGACATGTACGACTGACATTGAGCTCTGCGGAGGAGATTACAGACGCGTCAGTGGTCGTGTATTTTTAGACTTCCTCGTATCAGGTATCTGTGACTTCATTCTACAATATGAAATGAAGACGATTAAACATCCCTGCTGTCCTCAGAGCTGCAGTGCAAACAGAAATACCAAAAAGCCTTCAACGTTACAGAAGCAGGATAGTTGGTGGGAAAAGTTCAGTGCTCTACACTTGCTATGACACTCTCCACTCTTCCTCCCCCTCCCTTCTTGTTGTGAGGAAGCATTTCCTGTGCGCCAGCGCAGGAATGTCGCCGGGTGACACGCAAACTGAAAATGTTATATATTGAAAAATATCGCGAGATGTTAGAGGAGCCGAAAGGCTTAATCAGCATTGTGTCATCTCCTCTAGCAGTGGCTTGGGTGAAATGGACATTTACGGACCTGTAGAAGTTACGCACTATAGCTTTAATTGTGAAGAAACCTTTGTTTTTCTGTCATGACTGAACTGTGAACAAAGAATCCAAAAACAGGGTCCACTTTTAACAACAGCAGAACAATGTCAAAACATCTGTTTACAAGCTCTCCAACAACTCGTGCAGAATCATCCAAGTCTTATCTGTCCAGTTGGATATTCAGTACAACGCAGTTACCAATTACTGGCACGTGGTCAGTGACTTCCTGTGTCCGACGAAAACGTAACTACGTGTGTGTGTCGGCCAAACGTAACTACGTGTGTGTGTTGGCCAAATGTAACTACGTGTGTGTGTGTGTTGGCCAAACGTAACCGTGTGTGTGTGTGTGTGTGTGTGTGTGTGTGTGTGTGTGTGTGTGTGTCGGCTGTCGGCGGTGTTGTACTGACGTAGAGCTTTTATTTTGAAAGAGACTGCAAATTGTTCATTTCCCGTGAAAACATGGAACGTCCATTGTCGTGCTACAGTTAAGAGGCTTCAGCACAGGACGTGGACACGCCCTCATTATCTCAGAGTAGAAAATGCTAACTATTTTTTCATGATTGTAAAACATAACTTTATAAACTGGGCGACTTCTTTAATCATTCAAATTTGGCCGGGTGCTTAAAAACACATTTTTCTGTGATGTGACAAAATCATGACACATTTTTGTTTTTGCTTTACCCGGACATTAAACACGTAACATATTACTAAATGATTAAATGTTCTCGCGACCTGACAAAGGACTGATGCATTGTGGGTCATGAATACGTCCTTTTCCAGTCTACTGAATCATTTTAGGCTCCTGAACTCAACAGTTGGGTCGTTCTGTGTCACATCAGACAGAACTCCAGAGCCATGAACTTTGGGCTCAGACAAAATGATGTTCAACAGATTCAAATGATTGAAAGTCACAAGATGCCGACATACACACCCCTTTGCACACAAACGTTCGTGGTCCGAGGAATGAGCCCACATCGACATTTTGGCATCTGAGAAAGGCAGCAAACTGCGACCTTGGCAGATCTGCAGAGGTCGCAGTTTGTTGCCAGATTCTGTTCATGTGGTGATGTAAAATAGACCCTGACATTTGACTCAACATCAATCAAACACTGTATTTCCAGCAGGTGTCGTGGCAAATGTCACGGCTCCAGGAGTTAAATGTCTGAAGACACTGGACCCTAAAAATGGCCTCCAGCCTAAGATGGTTGTTCAGGCTGTGAAAATGAAACGTTCAGGGGCAATAATCCAAATTCAGTCAAAATATCTGAGAGAATTTATTTTTTGTGTTAAATACATAAAGTTTGAACAAAAATTAAAATGTAAATAAAAACCTCATGTAGGTGATAAACACCTACAAAATAAAGGTAAAAATATATCGACACTCAGTCACCAGTTTGTTCGGTACAAGCACACAGTCTTTGGCTAAAACTAATTAACACCATTACAACAGCTGTTTCTTGTTTGTTCAGCTTCCTGCTGCAGTTTGTGTCTGACATGTTTCTAAAATGTTCTCCCACCTATAAATACCAATAAGGGCTGACTTAATATAAGAACACGTCTCAGTTTCAAAAAAGCTGAACATTATAACCTTGATGAAAGTTGGATTTATTGCAGGGCTGTTGTTGGACTGAGTCTCCTGATAGACTGCAGCTGACTCTAAAAGAAAGAGTTTTAAATTCTAATAATCCGTCTGACTTTAAAGTAGAAGTCAAGTTGAAATGAGTTGTGCCACGAGGACATTTCATCAAATTGCCAGAATCCACGCTGAAAGAAGGGCGTGTTGCCCCGTCTGTTACGACTGAATCTGAGTAATAATAGGGTTCCAATGGTCATGGAAAACCTGAGAACGTCCTGGAATTACACAATGACATTTTCATTGGAAAATGTCATTGTGTAATAAAATTGTGTAAAGTATTTTCTGTAGATGTCGATGCGATGTAGCTCTGATATGCGTCAGTGTGTGGTGAGGTTTAGTTCCCAGGAGGTGTGTCTGCTCCTAAAATCAGGTTTGAATAGAGTTTGTATGTGTTCAGAAAACACCAGACAAGCTTGGCGAGAATGTTTCTGCCTCCACACTGGTGATGGTGAAAGGACTGATGTGTTCTGTGAGGGAACAGGTGGCCATACTGAAGGTGAAGATTTTAGAGGATTATTGATAATTTGATGAGTTTGTTTGAGCTTTAATTTGTGTTCAGTCTCGTGATCGGAACTTCCTGCAACGAGCCTTCAGTCTGATGTCACTTTTCATAACAACGTGTCGTCATCAGAGAGTGTGTGTGTGCGTGTGTGCATGTGTGCGAGCGTGTGATATGAATCCGTCTAGAGCCGCCGAGGTCAGTCATGCAGCTGCAGAGGACCTGCAGAAACACACACACACACACACACACACACACACACACATGTGACTCTATATTTGACAGGGTGGTGTAATTTCAGACACAGCAGAATCATCCAAGTCTTATCTGTCCAGTTGGATATTCAGTACAACCCAGTCCCCAAATACTGGCACGTGGTCAGTGACTTCCTGTGTCAGACGATGTTGAAAAAAGTGTGATGATGTTGATGATCAGTTTGATATGAAAGGATGGTTGCCGTTATTGGTGTGTGTGTGTGTGTGTGTGTGTGAGAGAGAGTGTGTGAGAGAGACCAGACAGTGTTACATGTTACTGTGAAGGCTGATAACACGACACTCCCTCTGAACGCCCGTCTCATAAATAGCGTCACATTTTTGAGATGTGGAGCTCAAACACAAACATGCATTTGGACGACACGTTTTTTTGAAAAATTTAGTAATGTCTGTTTTTTGTGTAAAAATTTTTGCGATGTTATTTTTAATTTAGAGAACATTTGGAAGCCATGATTTGTTTGTTGTTTTATATAGATGTGTATATGTATTTATATTTTGGGGGGGCTTTTGAAAGAAAACATGTTTGGAAGGCATGTTTCTTTAAAAATGACCAAAATTGCACCATTTGTCAGCCAGAAACTGTAAAAGTAGAAATGATCATTAGATTTTCAGATTTCCAACAGTCCTTGAACACATCATTTGGGACGAATGCTTCCATCAGAAAAACAAAGCAAAAACAAATCTGATCTTAAAATAGTGATATTTTGATAAAATCACTTTATTCTACGTCTAATTTAAAATTTGTCCAAAAAAAATTGTACTACAGGAGTGAAAAACTGAGTCTTTTTTCAACTCCAGGATTTCATCTTCAACTTTTAACTTTCAAACATCAAAGGGGAAGTTTTAAAAATCTAATAACTCATTTATGGAGGAGGGAGGGTCGTGGATTTTCCTCCAGTCACTCAGGGAGGGTCACACTGCAGACAACCTGATAAATAAAGAACAGTCCCTAATAATAAAACTTTATTGTAATTCAGTTGTTGCAGCAGCACAAAGACAAAGTAGAAAGTGAATAACGAGGTTCAAAAAAATAAAGCAGCAAAAACAAACGAAGTCACAGCAGCAGAGTCGGCACGTCTCATGTATGTAAACATCAGACTGATGTTTAATTCATGTGTGTTAACAGGTCAGAGTGGTGAGGAGGTGGAGACACACAGAACAGATGCGTTTTATATTTGATAAATGACTGAAACACTTTCACATTCAAAGACCTCATTGA